TCCCGAACACCAGGAAAGCGCCTTGTAGGCGCTGCAGCCAACGTTTCCACGTGGACACATTCGGATCGATCTTGTTCTTTATATCAACGAAATGAAAATAAATTCTCCAGTCTCTCTGGCTATTCTGATTGATCGAATATATATCATGTCGTTAAAGATCATGAGCAAACCAAAAAACATCTTGATGCTTTTAAATCTTGGCAACTTTTCGCTAACGGAATGATCTCTCAGCACACTATAGACTTTCATAATGAAAAGATTTTTAATATTGAACAAGAACACTGGAGAAATGTCTTTAAACGAATAATTCTTTAATTGTTAAATATCTTGCTCAACAAAATTTAGCTTTCTGAGGTAAATCTAATACTTTATATAACCCAAATAATGGTAATTTCTTACAACTTGTGCGCAGTAAGCGGTAATACCTGCAGGCAGAATACAGATCCATTTGAATTGAGAGTGTTCGCTCATCGAGATAATTTTCTTCTCGTATATTATTGGAAAATAAACATGATCCACTATTTGATTACAATATTTATACGAATTATGCGGAACCATGAATAGTAAAAAACCTTCTGGTTTTCAATTTCGTCAAGAGAGAAAGAGAAAAGAAGAAGAAGGTAAAAAATTATCGGGCTTATTAGCTAAATTTTTAAAAACTACATCAAATGCTTCCTTTCATTGTTCAACGAGTTCATCGATGGCAAGCACATCTTTTTGTACTGTTTCTTCGATGTGTACTTCTTTAGACCCAATACCATCAACGTCGACCGCAGACCCTCACCTTCTGAAGCTTTCCCAAATTCGATTTCACCTCCTGCGTCAATTCATATTGATATTGATACCAATATCGACGGTGACAATAGTTTTCAATTAGTTCGGATCGATCAATTTGAAGATCCAGGTCTCTGGCCTGATATAATTTCTCAAGATTTTCGGACTCAGATAATTGATCATGGCGTTCCCAAACAAATTATGGATTTTGACTTTCCATTAGATTCAAATAATAGCTGCTTCTCAAAAAGTTCATATACCCGTACAATGACTAACGGTGAAAAGTTATCCAGAAATTAGTTAGTTTATTCAAAATCTAAAAATGCTGTTTTTTGTTTTTCTTGTTCTTTATATCAACGAAATGAAAATAAATTCTCCAGTCTCTCTGGCTATTCTGATTGATCGAATATATATCGTGTCGTTAAAGATCATGAGCAAACCAAAAAACATCTTGATGCTTTTAAATCTTGGCAACTTTTCGCTAACGGAATGATCTCTCAGCACACTATAGACTTTCATAATGAAAAGATTTTTAATATTGAACAAGAACACTGGAGAAATGTCTTTAAACGAATAATTCTTTAATTGTTAAATATCTTGCTCAACAAAATTTAGCTTTCCGAGGTAAATCTAATACTTTATATAACCCAAATAATGGTAATTTCTTACAACTTGTGCAGATGTTAGCCGAATTTGACTCAACCATGGCTGAACACTTACGTCAATTTATAATAAAAGAAAATGGACAGCATTATTTAAGTAATCATATACAAAATGAGCTATTATCATCTATGTCTAAATTAATTTCCGATTCAATAATTTCTTTAATTAATTCAAGTAAGTATTTTGCGATCATTGTAGATTCAACACCAGATATCTCCCATCAGGAGCAATTAACAATAGTGGTGCGTTTTGTTTCATATAAAAATAATCAATTTAAAATTTATGAACACTTTCTTGGTTTCATTAAAGAAAATAGTAAAAGTGCTATCTAAAATTTTTTTTTTTTTTAAAGGTGCAGCCATTGCAAGTGCTATTTTAAAATTTCTATTAATAAATAATTTAGATATACAAAATCTGAGAGATCAAGGTTACGATAATGGTTCAAATATGAAGGGAAAAAACAATGGAGTGCAACAACAAATTTTAGATAAAAATCCTTTAGCCTTTTTTGTTCCTTGCGCATGTCACTCCTTAAATTTAGTAGTATATGATGCAGCTGTATCGCCGAAAAAATTGCAAATTATGAGTTTATATTATCCGTGCTCTGTTGGTATGACATTTTACAAAGAATCAACATCGTTTCAAAATCTTTGCAGTCGCATCAAATTAACATACCACAATGTATAAACTTAATTGAAAATATAACCGTTTTTTTAAGAGAATATCGTGAAAATGGTTTTATAGACATTGAAATAAATGCCAAAGATGTAGCAGTTCAAATGAACGTTTCTCCAGAGTTTCCACCCGTATGGCAATTTTGTTTAAGAAAACGGACACAATTTAGCAGTGTTAAATTTGTAGGAATTTACAAGTTTTATTAAAGTTGAAAAACTGCATCTTCTCTTCCAACTCCTGTTCATTATTTCACAATTATATAATTATAATTTAAATTTATTTTTGCTATTCATGTTTCATAAATTTCAAGCTATTCAATACATTGATTACTTTTGAAAATATATAAAAAACTTTATTTTGTTAAATTTTACATTACATTTAAGTATTGTCACATTTCTGGTATACGATTATCATTCCTCAGGATTGACTGCACCAATCTTATTCAAACTGGTCGCAATCGAAAGCTTGCATCCACATTGTATCAGAAAAGTGCCGTTACATTTTTGATTGACGGCTTGGTTCCTGAGGAATTTTAATCGAAAGTTTATTAGACGTAAAACTCCGGATAAGCTACTTGGTAGCGTCGCGGCCCCTGTACATAGGCAAACCGTTGACAAGCTGGAACGAATTTTTATATATACTTGGCGTCGCGACGCTACCGCGTCGCTTGATAAAAGTAACTGTTAAAATCGTTACTCGTTACCGAAAAATGTAACGAAGTTACTTTTTCCGTTACAAACAAAATTTGTAACGCCGTTACTGTTACGAAAAAAAGTAACTGTAACGGTAACGGCGTTAGAAGTAACGCGTTACTTCCCAACCTTGCAATTTAGTAATCAATGTCCAGATGAACCAATTACAGATGCTAGACAGAAATTTAAAGTAGAATTTTTTAATTATATCATTGATGTAGCTCTGAATTCTTTGGAAGAACGATTCGATCAGCTAAATTGTAATAGTAATGCTTTCAAATTTCTGTATGACTTTAATGCTTCCGATGTTACTTTAAATCAATGTAAAACTTTAGAATCAAAACTTTATAACAAAAATTTAAATTATTCTGATATAAATGCTATTGAACTGTTTGACGAGATAAATCTATATAAAACAACCTTTTCAGATATACAACAAAACACCTTGCAATCCCCAATTGAAATTTTAAATAAATTAGCTGGAAATGGCCTTGTGAAAATATTTCTCAATTTAACAATAGCGTTTCGAATATTATTAACTATGCTAATATCTGTGGCAACTGGTGAGGCAACTTTTTCCAAATTAAAAATAATAAAAAATTATCTTAGAAGTACAATGACGCAGACACGGTTATTCGATTTAGTCATCCTATCAATCGAGAAGGAGGTGGCCAACAGCTTCGATTACAAAATTATTGTAGAAATATTCGCAAAAGCTAAGGCCCGACAAAATACCTATTTTTAAATTGCTTTTATTTTACCTTTTTAAAAAACGTATTAAGAAAAAGATATAAAATATATTAACTTTCGATAATGTGAAAATAAATATAAAAATGGAAATATATACAACAAAATTCCAAAATATAAAAAAATATTAAAATATTAAAACATGAAAAAGAAAAAAAATATTAAAATATTAAAACTAAAAAAAAGGAACGAAGCGGTAATTTTTGAAACAATTTTTTTGCTCTTGCAGCCTCGCGTTGGGGCGCGCGAACAAATTCCAGCGTAGGGGCGCCTAAGACTGTCGGAACGCCCCCGTCTGTAGCTGACCGCTTTGGTATGGGCAAGTCATCGTTAAGTAACTGCTTCATGCGTGTCATCAAAGCTCTCAACGACATTGCTGATGAGGTAATTGTTTGGCCAACAGATGGCAAGCTTCTGACTGTAAAAGAAAAATTCAGAAAAAATGGTGGTTTGCCTGATGTCATTGGTGCAATTGATGGTACTGATATTGAAGTAAAAAGTCCTAAAGTAAGTAGAATGATATTAGCATGTACCATACTGTTAAAAAAATAATTTTTTGTCAGATGAAGAGAAATATTTTGTGTATCTTTGCAGGAAAATTGTCATTCTCTAAGCTGTTTGTGATTCTGAGCTTAGCTTCACAGATTGCTTTGCTGGTTTTGCGGGCTCTGTTGGTGATTTGCGAGTCTTCAGAAACTCAGATTTATGGCATGCAGTTCAAGAAAATAGGCGAGTCTTTTTTCCTGATCAGGAATTTATCATTGGGGACAAAGCATACCCTGTCTTGACGTGGTGCATTCCGCCTTTCCGTAACTTGGGGAACTTGACACAGGCACAGCAAAAATTTAATCAAGCCCTCTCTAAAATGAGACAGGTAATTGAACGAGCTTTTGCTCTGCTGAAGGGAAGATGGAGACGATTAAAATGTTTGGATATGAATAGAGATGATATGATTCCCTTAACCATAATAGCATGTTGTGTACTTCATAATATATGTCTGGACGGTGTAAATGATGTCATTGATGATTTTATTGCTGAGGGGTATGATGATGCCCTTAATGATGGAATTTCTCAAGAGATTATTGCAAACGATGCAGATAGCGAAGCAAAGCGTAATTACTTAGTCACACCTGTATCCTAGGATTTTAAATTGTATCTGTCAGTAAATTATAATGTAATATTTCAACATTTGTATGTAATAAAATAAAAAAAGTATGCAATAAAATAAAATTTATATTAAAGTTGTTTATTAAAGGTTAACCAACAGTACATTTTTATATGAAATAATTATGAATCAGACTTGAATTAAATCGACACTTTTTGTCCAGTTCCGTACTTACAAGTAACAATAACTTAAGTACACAAATCACAGCATTATATGAAGTAAGAACATGACCCATACTTTGACGCAAGAATTAGAAAGAAATGTTGCAATAACTAAGTAAAAAGTAAACAAACATTATACGGTATTTTATTGTATCTTAATGAAAACGAAAATCACATTTTTACGAAAGTAGAACTTATAGTGATAGTACAGTTTTTTAACAGAATCTAACTTTAACACATAAAAATCACTTTTTAAAATAATACAACTAATAGTACTATATATCTTCTACATAATTTAATAATAATATTACTTAAACATAATATTACTAAACAAAATTTTCTTTGATAATACTTTTTTGTACACAATCTCAGTGCTTTAACAATAGTAAAAATCTTTTACAAAACTACAACAAATACTGCTGGTACATGTCATCTAAAGTCCGTATCAGACTACGCATTGAAGATTGAGATTCAAGATTCAAGATTGAAATTTGACAAATCAGAATAAAGAAATTTTAGTCCCTTTTGTTCTGATTAGTCAAATTCCAATCTTTAATCTTCAATCTTCAATTTTCAATGCGTAGTCTAATACGGGCTTAACAGTAATTAAAAATAAAATCTAACAGTATTTTAAAAGAAGGTACAACATATCACAGCATTTCAATTACTGTCACATCTAATATGCTATTAAGTTCACACAATCACTTAGATCAGGTGTAGCAGAAAAAATTCAACTAACATTTAAAGTTTATCAAGAAGTTTGGACATAAAGTTTTCATAAACTTTAATAGTTATTTCCTTTCTCTCCATACTTTCTTTGTGTCGTTGCTCTCGTGCTTCTTCCTTCTTTTGTGCCTCAGCTTGATTAGCCAATAACCAAGCCTCCAATTGATGTTCCATTCTTGTTTCTTTTCATATTTTTCTCTGTCTTATGTACTTTTATTTCCTGTTCACCACTGTCGCTGCTCTCACATGCTTCTGTAGAGATGTCTCCTGATTTTGGAGTGGAACAGCCACTTTGAACAGTGGGACGTCTTTTCAAACTAGATGCAATAGCAACAGGTTTAACGTTTGGTTTCATACTGAGTACTTCTTCCATTTCATTATAAAACTTGCACGTTTTGGGTTGTACACCTGTCTGTGCATTGTGGTCCTTTGTTGCCATGTAACGTCTTCTGAGGTCTTTGAACTTATTTTCACACTGTACACCATTGAAAATCCAGTTAGGATTCATTTTTCGTAGACCCTCAGAAATCATCCGCCACACTTCCACATTTTTCATTACAGAACTTTTAAACAGCGATTCATGATCCTGCCACAGTTTGATCAAGACCTTAATAGCATTTTCGTCCTTCCATTTCACAACTGTCTCTTGTGATTTCGATTTTACAGGTACCTCTACAGATACAGGTTTTTCAGGTACCGTGGAGTCGTCACATTCTTGTATAGATATAGGTTTTTCCGGTACATCTATAGATGCTGTAGATAATGTTCCTAGGAAAAACATAAAATATATACTGATGAAAAATACTGACCCTCACATTAGATATTAAGGAAACAGCAACTTGTAACGCAACAGTAATGAATTAAGTAAAGGTCTTTACCAAAGGAAGAAGCTGAAGGATGTTCATCTGAACGTATATTGAAAAAGTTTCGCAAATCTTCGCAGTCGGTGGCCACGCACAACTTATTATCTGTTACATAAATATATGTCACAACTTCAAATATGATACAAAATGACAAATATACCAAAAGAAACCTAACTTAGCCAAGTGCTAAGGAAATTTATAAAACTATTTATTACTCCGTACCAACAACGTCGAATATATAGAAATTTCCCATGTCATCCTTTCGAGGGTTTCCCTTATCATCCACACATAAAATATGGCGACCTGAGATTAAGTTTACCATCTTTGAGTATCAATTTCTGAGCGAAGCACAACTGACGCTGACAGCACAGTTCTTTCCCGCCAATTCTCGCACTCCACCGAATCACACCGCAAAAAAGGAAGTGGAGAAAAGTCACACGAACGCTCAACGGGGTAGGGTTTTAGAACGACCACGAGTATATGCTCAGTGTGCCCACTAGGTGTTTTCGAACGAACAAGGTGTGACATTATACACACGGGTGCTGTTTTCGAACGCACCCCTGGCCGGAAAAGAGAGAGCACCGGAAAGCTCGCAAACGATCTCGAACGATCTTGCTGCGCGCGCATTTCATACGTACTTAAATATATAACATAGTACAAAACATAATAATAAAGAAGAATAATGAATCATTATATACTTATCATGCAACTTCAATGTATCTTCTATTCTTCCAAGTATTTTCGCTGCAATCTTTTTATTAATGAACAACATAATATAATCACAAGAGAGAGAGAGAGAGAGAGAGAGAGAGAGAGAGAGAAAGGGGGGGGGGGGAGGGGGGAGACTGAAAAAATATCTAAATTAAAATATATAAACTGTGTAGCCATAATTATAGCAGACAAATATTTAAACTGTGTAGCCATAATTATAGCTACACAGACAAATATATAAACTGTATAGCCATAATGATAGCTACGCAGACAAATATATAAACTGTATAGCCAGAATCATAGCTACGCAGGCAAATATATAAACTGTATAACCATAATTATAGCAACGCAGACAAATATATATACTGTATAGCCATAATTATAGCTACGCAGACAAATATATAAACTGTATAGCCATAATTATAGCTACGCAGACAAATATATAAACTGTATAGCCATAATTATAGCTACGCAGACAAATATATAAACTGTATAGCCATAATGATAGCTACGCAGACAAATATATAAACTGTATAGCCATAATTATAGCTACGCAGACATATATATAAACTGTATAGCCATAATTGTAACAATACGCCCCTAAACTTCCACACCCGTGTCTCGGCCCCACCGTGGGGCCGCCCCACCACGCGCCGACTCGCGTGAGTGGGAGGCCTCCGTACCGCGTTATACCGTAAGACCGTTTTGTATATACCGCGACCTGTTTGTACCGTAAGACCGCTTTGGTCTCTGCGTCCTAAGGGACTCTAGCACCGTTTGTATATATCGCAACCTGTTTATACCGTAAGACCGCTTTGGTCTCCGCGTCCTAAGGGACTCTAGCACCGTTTGTATATATCGCGACCTGTTTATACCGTAAGACCGCTTTGGTCTCCGCGCTCTAAGGGACTCTAGTACCGCCTTGTATATACCGCGACCCGTTTATACCGTAAGATCGCACTGTATATACCGCGCATTATAATTGTAGAGTAAATTAGCCATACTACGATTTCCGTCAGTGTCGCGCCGACTCCACCTGTACACGCGGCCTTCAGACTACACAAGCGCGCTAGCCCTTCTATAAGGGTAGGCCGCAGAAAGTGCCGACGCCCCGTCCTTCTAAGGATAAGGTAGTCAGGCTGTTGGAATTACGAACGAAAGCCACGCGACACCGTAGTATTTAAGATCCATTCTGTTCAGCTTAGAATAACTATGGTTTACTTGCATGCGAATACCGCGATCGCAGAACACGTCCGCATGAGCCGCGCTCGCTTCCCGAGCTCCCCGCGCACCAGCCAGAAACTCTGTCTGTACCCGAATTTCTGTACGCACCGCTCTTGCATGTCGCATTGTGAATAACAACCGCTCACGCGAAACTCTGTACGCACCGTTCCCGCATGTTGCATTGTACATATAATATAGCTCAGTGTTAGATGTTGATAATCGCTTAAATAACATAATTGTTTAACCGCTTATACCGAGGTAAAGTAAGTTGGAGTTTCCCCTTTCTCCCGAATCCTGGTACCGGCGAGCCTTGATCCACGGCGTACGGGAAAGGTGAACCGTTACAAATTATAGCTACGCAGACAAATATATAAACTG